AAATTAGAACCACAATGAATCTGACAAATATTAAGTATTATTGTGGATGTGAAATAATTGCTAGGGGGATTACAAATCATTACAGGTACAGCCACTATAGATAGGAAAACATCATAGCACTAACTAGAAAGGTTTTGTTTTATTTATTTTTGGTGGCTAGCCTAAACGGGATCCAAACCCTTGACTTTGGTGTTTATAACACCACACTGTAACCAACTGAGCAAACTGATTAGCCGTAGAAAGGTTTTAAGTGTGCATACTCCATTATTCTATATTTCTTCTCTCAACTATATATTGTAGAAAAATTCTTGCATATTTGTACACATGTATAAGAATGCCCATAGCACCATTGTTCCTAATAGCAAAATCATGAAAACAACTCAAATATCTATCAACAGTGTAATAAATAAATAATTTTGGCATATTCATGCAATGATATGATATCTAGTAGTGAAAATGGATTATATACATTATATATAAATACAACAGTTATATACAATATAAATGAATCTCAAGAAATAATATTGAGCAAAAGAAGTCTTAAAGTAGTGTAAATCCATTTATATACAGTTTAAAAGTAGTTGGCAAACTGTTCATATTTTGTGCATGTGTTGCATTTACAGGTGGTAAAACTATAAAGAAAAGCCATGGTATGATTATCTCAAATGTCAGGGAAGCAGTTACCTCTGGGGAGGGGAAAAGGGGAGAAAGTAAGGGGAATTCAGTTAGCGAAGGGAACATAAGAGGATTCAAAAGTGTTTCTTAACCTGGCTGCTGGTGGATATCCAGGTGTTTGCTGTGTTTTTTGTTTTTTGTTTTCAACCTAGAAGTATATATGGTGTAATTCACAATAAAATAAATGGGGGGATCCAAGAGAGACAAAGGACAATGAGTTAGTGAAGATGGAATACATGAATTTTCTCAGACAGGCCAGAAAAATGGGATGGTATTTGAAGGTCCACATGGAGATTGTCCCAGGTTCTGTGGAAAGAAATTTCCAATCCTGATAAGTCTTATTAATATCCATGCATGATTCTTATTAACAACTGAGACTTAAGCTAAAGCATAACATTTTTCTGCCGCTAGTACCATCATTCTCCCAGTCATCCAGGCTGGAAACTTCCCTGCTACACTATTACCATATTATGATTTTTTCCTTTGAAAATCTCATGTATCTGTCCGTCTTATTTTACTTTTTAACACCTTTGTTAACAGGCGCTTGCTTTTTTTGAAAAAAATCAAATCATAAATTTTTATTACAGTTAAAAAAGAAGTACTTGAGTATCTCAATTGAAAACCATATAAAAAACAAACCAAAAACCTTTAGAGCTCAAGGCTGGAGAGTGCTGAGCCTCTTGTTGTGCCTTGCGCTGCTCAGACTAGCGAACAGTACAAGATGGCTAAAGGTGACCCTAAGAAACCAAAGGGCAAGATATCTGCTTATGCCTTCTTTGTGCAGACAGAACATAAGAAGAAAAATAGAGAAGAACATAAGAAAAACCCAGAAGTCCCTGTCAATTTTGTGGAATTTTCCAAGAAATGCTCTGAGAGGTGGAAGACAGTGTCTGAGAAAGAGAAGTCTAAATTTGATGAAATGGCAAAAGCAAATAAAGTATGCTGTGATTGGGAGATGAAGGATTATGGACCAGCTAGGAGAGGCAAGAAGAAGGACCCTAATGTCCCCAAAAGGCCACTGTCTGGATTTTTCCTTTTCTGTTCTGAGTTCCGCCCCAATATCACATCCACAAACCTTGCCATCCCTATTGGAGACATGGCCAAAAAACTGGGTGAGATGTGGAATAACTTAGTGACAGTGAAAAGCAGCCTTACATCACCAAGGCGGTGAAGCTGAAGGAGAAGTGCAAGAAGGATGTTGCTGACTATAAGTCTAAAGGAAAGTTTGATGGTGCAAAGGGTCCTGCTGAAGTTGCCAGGAAAGAGGTGGAAAAGGAAGACAGGAAGAGGAGGAGGAAGAAGAGGAGGAGGAAGAAAAGGAGGAGGAGGATGAATAAAAACCTGTTTATCTGTTTCCTTGTGAATGCCTTAGAGTAGGGGAGCACCGTAATTGACACATCTCTGAGGTGTGTGTCTTGCCCTCATTAGGTTTAATTACAAAAGTTGATCAAGATCATATTGTAGTCTCAGAGTGCTCTAGAAATTGTCAGTGATTTACATGAAGTGGCCATGAGAGTCCGGAGTACCCTGAAACTGTATCAAAGTTGTATGTATTTCCTAACATTTTTAAAACAAAAAGGCACTCATGTTCCCCTTGCTCTGTGTACTTTGCTGTTGGTGTGACAAGGCATTTAAAGATGTTTCTGGCATTTAAAAATGTTTTAAGGTTATTGGCTAAAAATCCTGAGTTATGAACTGTACATATCTGTAGTTTTCAGAAAGAACAAAACAACAGAGACAGTCTTGATGTTCCTTGCTTGGTGTTGAGGCTGCAGGGGAAGATGCCTTTTGGAGGGGCTGTAGCTCAGGGCATGCCATCTGAGGCTGGTCCCGTTAACACTGTGGTGGGCATCCATTTAGCTTCAGGTTGTCTTGTTTGTGTATATAATGACACAGTATAGCTAAGATGGCAGCTTTCTTAGCTGTGGAAAGGGGGATCAGCTAGCATGAGAAGTGTTTGAGTTTTTTACTTTTTTAGTTAAGTGTGGTAATTTTTGAACTGTTTTTCAACAAACTGTACAACTCTTCATTGTCAGCAAAGAGCCGTTGCATCGATGAAAGTTCAGGGACCTTCTGTACTTAAACATAATTTGAAGTATTCTGTTATTTTTTTGTATGTTGAGGGTGCTGAAATGTTTTTAAAGTTAAATAAACAGTATAACATTTTTTAAAAAATACAAAAATACAAAAAAAACCCATTAAAGGCATATTAGGAAAAATCAGGGTTTTTTTTTTTTTTAGAGATTTCTTTAGGTATAAATAAAAGCCTCATGCTGCAGATATTTCCAGTTATCTGGTCAACTGGCAAAAAAGCAAACACATGAGACTTCGTTCAGTTCCAGCCTTTTTATTCAATTCTTACTGCTGGGATTTCATATTTATTTCTTATTGGATGAGTAAACTGGATTATGGTAGACATAGCCAACATATTTCTCATCCTGCCCTGCTCAACCTCTAGAGTTTAGTCTTCGCTGGTGATTCAGATGCTTTTGACTCTGCTAATTACCAGTTTGTTTTCTGAGATGTCTGCATTGGCAATTGAAGTTGTGGAGGAGACTGCTGAGGCTGAATGTTCTCTCATGATTTTCTTTTTTCCTTTTTTTTTGGCAGCTGACCAGTACAAGGATCTCGACCTTGCTCTCCTTGACTTTCTGTATCTTATCATTGCCGACTCTGTCTACTATCTTTGGAGATTAAGGTCCCTGTGAAATTGTGACCTATAGTTCTTATACATATTTTGCCCCACTGGTCTACCTTCTTTTGCACACATAGTTATTGGTACACTTAGTCATTCTTGCTCAGGAAGGTTGGAATACGGTGGCAGATACCCAGCAGTACAAATGGTGGTGGTGTTGTTCTTGCTTTTTGGAACATGCACATGCTTTTTCCCCCATTCCTATTGTGGTAATTCTGCTGGTAATTGCAGGGAGATATTGTTTGTTTTATGTACCATATATATGTTTTGCTTTAGGTATTTAAAGAGCTGTAAATTATCCTAAGGTAAATTGTAGATGCCCCAAGGATTTCATGTGGGAAATACATATGAAAACTCCTTATGTTCTGCGTTTTAGTAGGTAATGAGGATGCAGATATATAACAAATAGTTTCTATCCTTACTTGACTAATAATCAAACAGATGGGTAAGATGAAAACAGATGAAATAAGTAAAAAAAAATGTATTTCATATATATTTGTGCATATGTGTGTATATGTGTGTTTATATACGTATAAAAACTTATGTGTGCTTCTAGGAATTTGTTTTAAGGAAATAATGTGAAAAGTGCCTAATAACAGATATATAATAGTATTTATGGCCGTGTTTATAATACACTACAGTGTAAAAAATAAAGTACATAACGTAAGTGACCACCAATAAGTGATAAACATAATGGAATATTATGTAATAATTTAAAATAATTATTTAGTTCTATAGTTTTTAACAAGTAAGATCTGCAGTCTGTTAAGAGGGAGAAAACAAGTATAATGTTTTCTTTCTACAGGTGGTAAGACTGAAATAGTCAGGGAAAACAAAGAATAGAGTAGATTTGGATAGGCAACATGTAGAAGATGACATTTTGATTAGCATTTCCCAACCTTTTTGGACTCAAATTCCTTTTCCGAATTTTAAAATCTCATCAGTTTGTACAGTGTGTGATAAAAAGTGATTTTTAAGTAAAATGAATTTTATATCAGTATAGTATTAAAACTTGTCATGAATTTTTGTTCTACAGAGTCATTTTTGGCTCATAGTAAGGAAACTTTCTAATGATTAGAACTGCTTAAGAGTATTAAATTTCAGGCATTCCATATCACAGTGCTGTGATTATTTATCATATATGCTGAAAATAAACTTTGGTGGGTCTCATCTAATTTCTTGCGTTCCTAAACTTGACAAATAGCAAATTGATATATGGCCCCATGGACAACGTTTATTCCCTAATCCTGAGAGTCTAGAAATCCCTTGTAAGAAAGATAGTGTAATTTTTTAGGAAAAAATTGTAAGTTACAAAATTGTATTTGATAGTGTTTAGGAATGCTATAATTTGTGGCATTTAAAAAATGTATATTTTGGGCCGGCCCGGTGGCGCACTCAGTAGAGTGTGGCGCTTGGGAGCGCGGCGGTGCTCCCGCCGAGGGTTCGGATCCCATATAGAGACCGGTCCGCTCACTGGTTGAGCGCGGTGCGGGCGCGACACTGAGGGTTGCGATCCCGTTGCCGGTCGCGGTATGGGCGCGACACCGAGGGTTGCGATCCCATTACTGGTCACGAAAAAAGACAAAAAGGGAAAAAAAAAAAAGTATATTTTTTTTCCCACTTAGGCCGAATACACCAAGCAATGGTAACATCTTTAAATGAAGATAATGAAAGTGTAACTGTTGAATGGATCGAAAATGGAGATACAAAAGGCAAAGAGGTATGATCACAGGTTTAAATTTTATTTCTAGTCCTGCAGTCAAAATTCTGAATATAAAACAAAACAGAAATGTATATCACTTTTATGTAGTGCATGTATTTTTTGTCATTCCTTGGAAAACCTTTCAAATGATTAAAAATTTCCATTCAAAGAAAGGTAGAATTTATCCTACACACTCGTATTTTATGTGATTGCACATGTCAGTCCTGTTAATTATTAGATGAAGACATACTATTTTTTAAAACTAGCTCACAAAATTTGAAAGTTGCTATAATAATTATGTGGTTCTGTTGGTCACTGTGTTGTTAGCAGGTTATGTGATCAAGACAACAATGAGCCATTTTAAGAGAGATTCTTTAAATATATGTGGATTATATTTCTAAATTATCTAGTTTGCAGAGCAGTGCCATTCATTAGGCTAAAATCAATGAAGGGTTACTTTGTGTGAAATTACTTGAAAAATGAAAGGTTAATCATCATATACGCTCTCAAAATATGTGTGTGTGTATGCGTTTTAAACAGATTGACCTGGAGAGCATCTTTTCACTTAACCCCGACCTTGTACCTGATGAAGAAATTGAACCCAGTCCAGAAACACCTCCACCTCCAACATCCTCGGCCAAAGTAAACAAAATTGTAAAGGTTAGTTATGAAAATTCAGAGTTGTGTATGTGTTTGCTGGTTTGAAATTTGTAGGCTGTGAAGTGTATATTTTAAGTATTGATTAGTTTGCTTTTAAAAAAAAGCTTTAGGGCTGGCCCGTGGCTCACTCGGGAGAGTGTGGTGCTGATAACACCAAGGCCCTGGGTTCGGATCCCATATAGGGATGGCCGGTTCGCTCACTGGCTGAGCGTGGTGCTGACAACACCAAGTCAAGGGTTCAGATCCCCTTACCGGTCATCTTTTAAAAAAAAAAAAAAAAAAGCTTTAATTCTTTCTGCTATTCATATCCATGTATATGCACACATACTTTCAAGGATTGAGGTTGTCTAATTCACAATTAAGACACTTATTAGATAAGATCCTAGAAATTCCTTGCCTAGTTAGGATTTTTCCTGAAACCAGTAGCTTCTCAGGAGATATGGATCAAAACCATTTGCTTGTCAGTGTTTGTTGAATGAATTCATATGACTTTGACACAGGAAGAATAGCTGTTTATTATGAAAAATAAGTGCCCACTCTGATAGTGTTTTGAAATTATAATTCTGCTGTGTATGGTTTTTGTTTTGTTTTGTTTTGTTTTGTTTTTGCAGCTGGCCGGTATGGGGATCTGAATTCTTGACCTTGGTGTTAGCAGCACCACACTCTAAAGAGCTGAGCTGAGCCCTTTATTTGTGTTTATTAAAGAAAGATGGGAAATGATGAAGTGCAGTTTAACTACTTCTATATTGACTATGAAGATAAGCTTTAAAACCATGCTATATCCTCCCTAGCAGTTTTGTCTTTACACAAGTTAAACACACGTTATTTTTATTGTTTTTAAAGATAATTCCTTTCTTTCTCTCAAACCCCTTCACTGTTAAAACTTTGTATCAACATACAGCTCTTTTTAAACCAGGTAGTCCTGCAAAGTTGTTGAATCCACAACTCTGTGTTCAGTTCAACAAGCATTTATTGTTTTTTTTCTGCATTGTGCCAGGTATTATGCTGGGCAGAATACAAAGACGACTATGACATGGCTTTCAGCCTATAGGACCTTGACATATTGCAGGGATGATATACATAAGCATCCAAATAATAGTATGATAGAAGCTTGAGGATATCAACAAAACATTCTGCTTTGTAAACTGTGTATATGAATGAAAGGCATATTTTCTTTTCTTCGAATTTTAAGCATATTGAGTCACTGCTTAGAGGTCATTAGTTACCCCTTGTAAATGAACTGTTTTTTATAATCAGCTTCAAAACCTTGGAGGATCTTCATATTTTATCCTTCTTGGTATATCATTAGCAACCTTTGCTATACACTAGAATCACCTGGAGAATTTTTGAAATACTGATTTCTGGACCCCACTCCCAGAAAAAAAAAAAAAAAAAAAAGCTTTAATTCTTTCTGCTATTCATATCCATGTATATGCACACATACTTTCAAGGATTGAGGTTGTCTAATTCACAATTAAGACACTTATTAGATAAGATCCTAGAAATTCCTTGCCTAGTTAGGATTTTTCCTGAAACCAGTAGCTTCTCAGGAGATATGGATCAAAACCATTTGCTTGTCAGTGTTTGTTGAATGAATTCATATGACTTTGACACAGGAAGAATAGCTGTTTATTATGAAAAATAAGTGCCCACTCTGATAGTGTTTTGAAATTATAATTCTGCTGTGTATGGTTTTTGTTTTGTTTTGTTTTGTTTTGTTTTTGCAGCTGGCCGGTATGGGGATCTGAATTCTTGACCTTGGTGTTAGCAGCACCACACTCTAAAGAGCTGAGCTGAGCCCTTTATTTGTGTTTATTAAAGAAAGATGGGAAATGATGAAGTGCAGTTTAACTACTTCTATATTGACTATGAAGATAAGCTTTAAAACCATGCTATATCCTCCCTAGCAGTTTTGTCTTTACACAAGTTAAACACACGTTATTTTTATTGTTTTTAAAGATAATTCCTTTCTTTCTCTCAAACCCCTTCACTGTTAAAACTTTGTATCAACATACAGCTCTTTTTAAACCAGGTAGTCCTGCAAAGTTGTTGAATCCACAACTCTGTGTTCAGTTCAACAAGCATTTATTGTTTTTTTCTGCATTGTGCCAGGTATTATGCTGGGCAGAATACAAAGACGACTATGACATAGCTTTCAGCCTATAGGACCTTGACATATTGCAGGGATGATATACATAAGCATCCAAATAATAGTATGATAGAAGCTTGAGGATATCAACAAAACATTCTGCTTTGTAAACTGTGTATATGAATGAAAGGCATATTTTCTTTTCTTCGAATTTTAAGCATATTGAGTCACTGCTTAGAGGTCATTAGTTACCCCTTGTAAATGAACTGTTTTTTATAATCAGCTTCAAAACCTTGGAGGATCTTCATATTTTATCCTTCTTGGTATATCATTAGCAACCTTTGCTATACACTAGAATCACCTGGAGAATTTTTGAAATACTGATTTCTGGACCCCACTCCCAGAAATTCAATTTTATTTTATCTTAGAGGGAGGCCCTAGCATCAAAATTTTGTTTGTTTGTTTTGGCAGCTGGCCTATACGGGGAACCAAACCCTCGACCTTTGTGTTGTGGCCACGCTCTAACCAACTGAGCTAACTGGCCAGCCTTAATATTCTTTTAACAGTACCCATCTGATTTAAATGTGCAGCCAAGGTTGAGAACAACTGCATTATTTGATATCTTTTTTTGAAGTGAATAAAATGAAGTCTTAGTAAATAAATAATAGGACCAAAAGTTTATGGCTTTGATCTGTGCAGTCGGTGTTCAAATCTTTGAAACGCTAATGAAGCCTTTTTAGGATAACTGACAATGCATGTTTCTTAGTTTTTTGATATTTCAGTTTAACAAGGGGCTCTAAGCTGTCTAGAACTAATACTTTATTAATTACCCCCTGATAGCCAAAGGTGAAGTTTATTATATGCTTTTCACAGGATAGCATAGTTATTAAAAGCACACGTTATAGTGAAGCTACTTAGCCTATCTGTGCTTCAGTTTCCTCATCTATGAAATGGAAATAGCAATAATAATGACCACACAGGTTGTTACAAAGATTAATCAAAGTAATACATGTGAAATCCTTAGAGCAGTGCCTGGCTCACATTAATTCCTGAATATGTGGGGAGGGTGGAGGAGGAGGGGAAAAAACTCATATAAGGGAACTTGAATATTGATAGTAATTCATTAAAAATTTATAGTTTTTCTCCATTTAGTTTTTTATTATTGTGTGTCTACTTACTTTTGTTTAATTAAAAGAAGGTGAGATCATGATACATATTAGGAATGAAGAGAGAAAATATAATGAACTTTTTTTTTCTTTTATAGAATCGACGGACTGTGGCTTCTGTTAAGAATGAGCCTCCTCCAAGAGATAATAGAGGTAAAGTAAAATATCTACAGAACATTCCATCCAACAACCTCAGAATATTCATTCTTCTCATCAGCACATGGATCATTCTCCAGGATAGATCACATATTCGTAATAACTTCGTATAGCATACATTATACGAAGTTATACGATTTCAGTTGCTTTGAATTTAAAATTCTGGGCAGATGATAATTTGTCAGATGTTATAGAAGAAAATCTTGTGCTCCTTGATCCTTTGGATTCAAAGATCTGTGACTCTAAACCAAGAGATGACATGTAGCAATATATTTGAGTCATTTTTCTGGACTCTCATTTGTATCTTGTCCTGTTCCTGGTTTTGATAAAGCAGCTCAAAAGTAAAGCTCACATAGTTGTGATAGGCATGCTTTGTCATTGTATACCATTTTTTGTGTGTATGTGGTGAAATTATAAATAAAATTTTTCATTATAAGTACAGTACTCTAAAAAGAAAACTATACTTCTTCCTCTTATCTTTTTCTTTCAGCACGCAGAAAATCTAATTGTGTGAAGGAAGTAGAAAAATTGCAAGAAAAACGAGAAAAGAGAAGACTGCAACAGCAGGAACTTAGAGAAAAAAGAGCCCAGGTTTGTAACAAACATAGTTTATCAGTGAAAGTGATTGACTTGTGAAAAAAGAGTTGATTCATTTAAGGAACTTAAAGAATTCCTTAAATTGATATTGAAGAATAATATAAACTCTTGTAAAAATAAGTTACTATAACAGATTTTTACTTCATGCACTTTTCCTATCTTAATTGGGTGTTAGCCTCAAAGTTTGTTCCATTATCAATAGTAAGCCATTGTGTTACAGAATTCTAATGTGTATATTTTAACACTCAAGAATAATAGCCTTTTGATTTTAAAAAAGACATAAAAATACATCTGGAAAAATATCCAGTTAAAATACATGATTGCAGTATAAATTTTATTGTTTTTTCATGGCTGATAAGTTTAATATGTCATAGGTAAAGGAGGGAAATTCCTTGCGTTTTGATTTATACTAGGTATGAGGGTCTCATGTTCCATTCGAATGGTAGCAAAATTGTTTAATAACAATTGAAAAATTGCATAGAGGACTGGTCTTTTATCCCTCTACAGGTCTTCTCATATTAGAAATTTTATTATACGTATAACTCCTCCATTGTTCTTGTATCTATTATAGTCTCAGAACAGATGCCACCTGGTGTTTCCATTGGGTACTTTATAATATTTATGCATCTCTTTGTGATCTCTTAATTCTCATTTCACATTCTGCTTCTCAGTTGATATAGTTGTTATTATTTCCTAGAAGATTAATTGAAAATAAGTTTTACTAACAGTTTTGAAATTTAGTTATATTGAAAACAAATCCGAATATGATGTATGAAAAATATCTGACTTTTAGAAAGTTCAGTAATTTATTATGAATGGCTAGGAGAGGTTATTGATTATGATGTATGAAAAATATGATGTATGAAAAATATCTGACTCTTAGAAAGTCAATAATTTATTATTAATGGCTAGGAGAGGTTATTGATTATTGATATTTGTATTTTAATCTGAATTTCTTGGTTTTGAAGCATAAAAGTTATTCAGTAATGCAGTCAATTATTATATCAGTGACTGTATTCAATTATTTATTTTAAAGATTTTTAAAAATTATCTCCGCTTTTGATTTCTTTAAGTTTTATGTCTTATTAATTTTGGGCTATTTTATCATGCCTTAGTTTCTTTTTAGAGGGTTAACAAAAAAGGAAATAACATAAATGAATTCGTAATTCTCCTTTGCTGAAACACTGGATTAAGAAATTGGATGAATTTGTTTAAATGAATTTTTCTAGAATTTCAGCTTTTCTAGAGCTCTTTGCCAGTGATTAAGATGAGCACTATTTCTGTTTTTTCTTTATTTTCTAGGATAATTAAAGTATATGTGTAACAGATGGATTTTTGAAACAGTTAAATGTTCCTTTAATGAAGAGTGTTTGGTTTGGAGCAAACAGGATACATGCAGACTAACAGAATGTGTTTTTAATAAGAAAGTGATTCTGAACATATTAAATTTGAACTCTGAACCTATCAGTTTGGGCTTGGTTATGACAAATGATACAATCTTTTAATTTTATTTTTCAGGCCATATATAACATAAATGCAACAAAGATGACATGGTTGTAATTATAATAAACAGTGAATTTTCTCTGTTTCCTAATAGGATGTTGATGCTACAAACCCAAATTATGAAATTATGTGTATGATCAGAGACTTTAGAGGAAGTTTGGATTATAGACCATTAACAACAGCAGATCCTGTAAGATTCTTTGTTTGTGATTCATTGTGCTGGATCTTTTTATGCTTTAAATGAAAACATTTAGTGATACCTACTAAATTCATATTGTAGTTTTTTCAATCCTTATGGATGCTCATTCCCCACATTTTAAGAAAATCAAGAAAAAATCCACATTTAGGCTCATTTTTCATAATTTGTTCCCTTTTATTTATTTATTTATTTATTTTTTGGGGTGGCTGGCCAGTACAGGGATCCAAACCCTTGACCTTGTGTTATCATTTCTCATAATTTGATATATGAGACATGCTGTCCACAGAGATGTTCTTTTCAAAGCAAAGCCTCCCTGTCTTTGGAAGGACAGAGCAACAGTTAAAGGAGTGATGGCAGAAGACCCAGTTTCCTTTCTTGCCATCACTTGTGCTTTGATCTCAATTCCAAGCTTATTTCCTCTTTGGCTTGGGCAATAGATCCCTCTATTATTCCAATTTATTATTAGTTTATTTGTTATTTTTAAATAAATATTCTGGCTTTTAACAATACATGATGGTTATCGAGGGCAGCAGTGGATCAGAAATCTAGTGCTAGAAAAGATGTTCTGCTTTTATTACTCAATTCCTTTCCTGTTGAAGAATGAGAATTTATTGGAAAGGGAATACTTCGTAAGTAACCGACACTTATGAAAAATAATCCATCTGACCTAGAATATACAGAATGTGTTAGTTACAAAAAATTTATTTGTGTTAGGCCAGAGGTATTATATAGTATTTAATAGAATTATTGTCTAGAACGTATGTATCCCATGTGTTCTAGACCTTGCTACCTTCCATGTGTTTCACTGCTACATCTAAGTTCATGCTTCATGACAGGAATTAGCAAACTTTTTCTGAAAGAGGCCCAATAGTAAATACTTTTAGCTCTATGAGCCAGTATGGTCTTTGTAACAACTATCAATTTTGCCATTTTTTTGTAAAAGCAGCCATAAATGCATAAACAAATGGGTATGACATTCATTTCAGTTGATGTGTTTCCATAAAACTTTACAGAAGCAAATAGTGGGCCAAATTACTTTGCCAATCCCTTCTTTATGTTAACTGTTAGTAAATGGAGGCGTTTACTGGAAACATAAGTTTTATGAAAAATATTCATTTATAAGAATTGGCATATTAATAAAATCGTTCAAATTATTTTGGTCAGTAATCTTCTGAGAATCCTGTTTCTTGCCTGTAGTTATCTTAGCCAACAACTTTCCCTATAAATCAACCTGAAAATATGCCACTTCTGATAGAGCAGAAATTTTTACTTTTGTTGTATGCAGCATATCTTGAAGTGTATAAGGCAGCTTCTTAACGTGAACTTAATGCTACTAAGAACAGTAGTAGTCTCCACAAAATTATTTCCTAAGGTGATGGTTTTTACCAAATAGCGAAATAAGCAAATTTCCATTACACTCAGAATTGTAGAAATAATTGTCTGATAACCATTAAAATTTGTGCAAAGCAAATTTGTTTTTTAAGCTTACCTATCATATTTATGATATGTATAAATTCCTAAAACCTTTGTAGGAAATATTACATAGTTTATTTTTCAGTGTTTTACATGCCACCGATAATCACTAAAATAAAAAATAAATGAATTTTTAAAAAAATCACCGAAATAAAATGTTTTTATTCCTAGATTGATGAACATAGAATATGTGTTTGTGTAAGAAAACGACCACTGAATAAAAAAGGTATGCTTAATGAGCTCTAATGAAGGGTTGGTTTTATCTTACTTGTAGTTTGATAATAGCACAAAGCAAATTGGTTTGGAAGAATCAAATTTAAATCATTTCCTTTCATTTGTACATAACCACTATATAGAGTTCTATGGATGTGGTTGTTGGTTTGTTATTGTTCTGTGCATCATTGACATTCCTGGTTTCTCACAGATTTCGTGATTTTTTTACTTTGTTGTTGAAATATTTTGTCTTATTGAGTGGCGTATTTATGGGATATTATCTTTATATTTACAGAACTTGCTACTGTTACCTAAATTCTTACTACTTAAAATAATTTTTGTACATTAATTCAAATGCTGTGAAAATTACTTGGCATTGATTTTTATTTATTCTTTTAGAAACTCAAATGAAAGATCTTGATGTAATCACAATCCCTAGTAAAGATGTTGTGATGGTACACGAACCAAAACAAAAAGTAGATTTAACAAGGTACCTAGAAAACCAAACATTTCGTTTTGATTATGCCTTTGATGACTCAGCTCCTAATGAAATGGTTTACAGGTAGGTAAATTTGTTTTAAATTAGAATTTTGTTCTTATACTGTATCATCACCACCCTGAAACATAGGTTGATCTTGGGATATTTCTCCAGAGATGCAATATGCTTTTTTATTCTGAGTTTAAATGAAGAAAACTTAATAAACACTATAATGAATGTTAACACTTGTTTATTTAATACTCCCTAAAATCATAGTTTAAATTGCTAACTTCTTTTTTCTTTTTTTTGTTCTTTTTGAGACCAGCCGCACCGCGCTCAGCCAGTGAGCGCACTGGTCATCCCTATATAGGATCCAAACCCATGGTGGGAGCGCTGTGGTGCTCCCAGCGCCGCACTCTCCTGAGTGCACCACGGGCTCGGCCCTAAATTGCTAACTTCTAATTAGCTTATTATATACATATTACACACCTACCATATGTATGGATAAGAAATTTCTGGAAAATGTTAACCTCTAGGAATGGGATGTGTTGAGAGGAGGACTTTTAATTTTTGCTTATTAATCTCTGTACTGGTAAAGAAATTTGAAGTACCTGTTGTTAACTGTCAATCATTAATTTGTCTAAATCTTTATTTAGCATGTACTACCACTTAAGTTGAAAAAGCTGTGTAAATGTACTTGCATTTGCCTAATTTTATCATCTTTAAACTTGGACATAGTTTTACTACATGAGATTCTTTTATGTTTATATATTCAACTTATTAACAGTTCAAAATTACATGTATCATATATTGATATCCCAAATTTTGTATGCCAAATTCAGATTTTTCATACATCAGATTGCAAACCTTCATTTCTGGTAATTATAACTGATTAGTTTTAGCAGCATTGCAATTTAGTCTACATAAAGCTGCCTTTGCACTTACTTGAATGCTGTGTTTTATTATCCTTTTATTTTATAAAAATGATTGGAAAACAGAAAATTAGAGTTAATAAGACTCCTAAGAATTGAAGGTGTTACAAATGAAATACTAAGATCAACTTCATTTGTCTTAAGCCAGTAAACTGGGAGTTCAGTTCTAAAGAAAAAGGACAAAATTAAAGAACGTATGAATAGAATAATGTGAAGAGTATGTTTGAAAAGGGAATTATTATTGTAAATTGTATATTTTTTAGTTTTGTCTTCCCCCTTTTTGCTTCTACTTCTGCCTCATAAGAGTTTGCATGACTTTTATAATAGTTTTCAAGAAATTGTTATACTAAAGGTATGTTTCTGTGTATGGGAGATTTGTTAAACATCCTGTGATTCACCCTGTATTTATGCTTCTGAACTTTAGCAATATTTATCCTTATCTTCTTGGCTCATACTTAACTTTTATGGATTGAGAAGTTATACAGGGAACTTCCTGAGACTTCTGGCAGCAAGATGGCAGTCTGAAGGCAGCGGCAGCGGTAGAAACTCAAGACTCGGGGGCCCCAAGGACTGGAAGAAATCACAGTGCCTACTTGGAAAGAAGAAAAGGTATCGACTTGCTCCAGCCTGACCCCAGAGCGGGCCTCTAGAAAGGCTGGAGCCGCCGCTGCTTGCAGTCGGTGACCACGCAACTCTTCACCCGCCCGCGGAAGCGGCAGTGGCATCAGCAGAGGAACTGCTGGCAGCAGAGCCAGTAGCAGCAGCAGCAGCGGAGGAACCGGTGGCAGCGGAGCCAGCGGCAGCGGCAGCAGTGGAGGAACTGGCGGCAGCAGCAGCAGCGGAGGAACCGGCATCAGTGGCAGCAGTGGAGGAGCCGGCGGCAGTGGTGCCCTCAATGTCAGCAGCAGAAGTGGTGCCAGCAGTAACGGCAACTGCAGCAGCAGCGGTGGAACCGGTGGCAGCGGCAGCAGTGGAGGACCCGGCATCGTAAGCGGCACCGGTGCCAGTGGGGGAAGCGGCACCAGCGATAGCAGCGGGAGCAGGGGAAGCGGCGGCAGCGGAGCCGACGGCAGTGGTGCCGGCAGCAGCGGTGTGAACGGTGGCAGCGGCAGCAGCTGGGGAACCGGCAGTGGTAGGAGCGACACCCTGCGGTACCACCCCGTCACCCAGCTGCCCGGCAGAGTCCAAGCTGACCAGAGAGGTGGCTCCCTGGAGAGGCCCAAGACC